CGAGTCATCCTCTCATCGGTCTATTCATCATCTTTTTGTGTCAGCTGCACGTTGACAGGAAGTGTCGCTCATTTGTCGTGTGTGTGTGTTTAATGCTCTGAGCAGGTCTGCCTGTTGGACTCCTATAGTTCAATGTCTCTAAGAGAGCGGGGGGACAAAAGGGGGAGCATGGACAAAGCAGGCTTTTCTTTCTGTGTTTACATAAGTAGCATATTTCTGGTAGTGGATAAACTTGTTCAGCCTGTGAGTACAATAGCCTCTTGTTTATAGGTCCTATTCATAGTTAGGTTATTTCCTGTTATTTCTATCAAAAATATTTAAAAAAAATGTTGGGTGATACTCTTAAACGATTTCTGCTAATGTGTGTTCGTTAAATGCGATCCTGCTCACAATTAGCTTAGCATAAAGACTCGAAGTAGGTGGAGCTAGCCAGGTAAAAAGATGAAAGGTCAGCACCTCTTGTGGTGCATTCATACAGTATGCTCCTTAGATTGTTCGATCTACCGAGTTAGAACGTCGTTTTTCTAACTTCAGTGTGTTAAGATTTTGAAAGCATAATGAACGTGAAACATAATAGATGCTACAAAAAGATGTGTTCTCAATTCTGGCTAGCTTTAAAAATGTGTTTTTTTTACCTAAAATCACCACTGTTATCAGAGTTAATGCTGATGACCAAGTTTTGTAACTACAATAGATCACCCATTGCGAACAGCAAATAATGGTAACAACCTTATAACATATTACAAATGACATTAGAAAATGATACGCATTACCAACAAATCCAATATATAGTGTCACCCGCCATGTTTTTAGCTAATGTAAAAAAGTTAGTGGACAAATCGTAAGAAAGTCATTACTCAGTGTCGACCAAGATATATATTCCAGCATATAACATACTCCTTTTTTCGTGTGGTTACATTTTTAGATTTGAGATTTAGAGGTGCTGGTAAATGCTCATCTTTGGACAGAGCCCCGCTGATCTGAGTCTTCATGCTAAGCTAAGCTAACTAGATGCTAGCTTCAGTTGAATGGACAGACAAAGCAAATAATGGGTGTTTCCCAAATGCCAAAAGGACCATCACATCTTCATGTACTTCTTCACTTAAATCAAACTGTTCTTTTTTTTGCAGTTTTCACACAATTTCACTTAATTTCAACTTCATACATTGTCATCCTACAGGAGAATGTGTCATAAATGAGGGAGTTAAACATTGTGTAGGGGAAATGTTCTCTGTTTGTGCATGCTCAGGTACACAAGTACACCCATGCAATACAATGTGGGTGGAGTGACACTGGTACATACGATGGACAGGGAAGCTCCTCCGTTTTTAGCATCCCTGACAATCTGTGTAGGGTGTGGTGTCCCCCCCCCCTCCCTAAACCACACACACCCTCCCTTGATTTGATTGGCTGTGCATCTCTGTCCCACTGCAGCATGGGTGTCAGGGTGATGGACACTACTTGGGTGGCGCGCAGGGGCTCGTCTTCTTCGCGTAAATGCTCGTCCACGCCGCCGAGCGTGCACCTCCCCGTCGCCCCCACTGACGCTCTCACCCCCGAGCAGCCTGCTGGGGATTTCTCTGCCTCCCCCTCCCCCACCCCTCCTCCCACTAACAGCGATCGAGCCAGGTAAGGCTTTCGTG